GTTTTCACAATTTAAGTATCTTTATGTTTCAGCTTCAAATGATAAAGATATTTAAAATACTTAAAGTATCTTAATCCCAACAACGGATTTTTCGTTACTTGGATATAAATGGAATATTTCCTGATTTCATGACCTTTGCATTAGGTGATTAGGCGATGATTTGATTAGGCGTGACTGTGTAGTTGACGTGAAGGGATGCTTGAGCAAAGAGAGAGGACTATAGGAGGTTCTATTGGAAAGAGTAAGAAGTGGTTAAAGAAGAAGAGTGATCTATTTTCCCTTTTTCATCTCTAGATTTTCATAAGTATCTTTATGTTTTGTTTTCGAATAAGACTGCGATGTTATAATATTCTGAAGAAAGCAGTTCTTTGTTATAATAGTAGTACGTGAGTGCAAATGGACAAGGCGTCAAAGGTTATCTGTTTGACACAACATTAGTAGCCACAGATCTTTCCTCACCAAATCAACTCATCAAGAGCCAAAACTTATCTTCTCTAATAAGGGATAGGTAGAGAGAGAAACTTTCTCTCCCTTCTCACTAAAAAACCTTGATTTTTTCACCCAACCGCCTAACTTTTTTTGTTTACTGTCTCTCCGGCGTCCGGCGCTTGTCGGCGTCGTGAGAGGATCCGCCTCCATCCCTTTTGTACCCTAAGGCTCTTCATTCGTGGTGACGACTCCCTAAGAGATGATTTGGTGGTGGCCTTGTTGGTTCCTTGGCGGTGATGCATGTTTGACTCTGGCATGGCCTCACAGCGGCTAGGTGGTAGCTTTAGGTGGTGGTCCTCCTTTTGGATCCTCATCGACGGGATGCGATGGCGTCGATCTTTGCTTGTTGTTGTTGTTGATGGTCTCTCCTCTTGTCTCGCGGCGAGGTCGGATTAAAGACCCGTGTGGTGGTGGATCTGAAATCGGCGGTGCGATGCGGCGATGAGTGGGCCATGGAGGTAGATCTGTCGGATGTCTCATCCAAAAGGTGGATCTCTTAGGGGTTGACGGATCCTTCCTTTCGGTTGCGTTTTCCCGGCCAGATTTACTTGCTATGGTCCGATTCCCCCTCATTCGGTGGTTTGCTCCTTTGATGTAGGTGATGTTTCTTCTCGCCTTTGTTCTCTGGCCATTCTTCTGTAGTTTTGTTTCTCTATCAGGTTTTGGTTTCTAGGTTGCTTCGGGTTCGGTGGAGGCTGACTGTTCCACTTAACCAGTTCATCATGTCCTCTACGTCGGTGGAGGTGGGAGTTGTTGGAGCGGCTTCGGTTGGAAGGATTTTCGTTGACAGAGATGTTTCCCGGAGCCTCATATTGACGCTAGATTCGGCGTGTTTTGACGTAGGTTCTGTGGGGACAATATGTCTCGGTTTGCTTATTCCCTACATCGACAATCGAAGTCGTCTCTCGCAGATTCCGGTCTTCCACCTAAGCCGATGATTTATGTGGTCATCGGAGTTCGGCTGGACGGCAGCGAAAGTTTGGGCGGCAGCTGGCCTGAGAAATTAGAGTGTCTTAGAGTTTTACATGTTGTAATGGACTAGGCCCAATAAATTGTTTGTTTAAAGTTTCTAACCAGTCCAAAAAATTAGTTAATGAAAAATTTAAAAAAAAAAAATGAAAAAAAGAGAACAAGCAAACGTAATGAGATCTTTGTTTATGCTGAGTTAAGAGAAAAATAATATACTTAATTTCTCACACTAAACCTTAGAGAAACTTACTGAATTTTCATGTTACAATGAAATGACTTTACAAAAATGAAATCAGCTCTTAAGCATTAGGTATTGAAAAACTGAAATCCTAAAACATTCAGAAGAGCCGTCCTCTGTCAATAGGTTTCACACCTTGTATTCTTCTTCATATACTGTTGTTGTCTTCTTCTCTCGGTTTCTTATTCCCACTCAATTGTTGCTACAATTGATTAGCAAGAAAAGTGAATTTTTGATATATAACATTTGTTACAGCCTGCAACATAAAAAATACTCTGCAAAATAGAATCAGTGATTGTTAACTCAAACTAAATAATAACTTCCCACCAAAAACATGAAAGGATTTGGAGCACAGGGCTGTCTGAAAGAGGGATACGTGGAGAGGAAGAGAACATGAAGACTGGTAAATACAATTTTCTCTCTTTGTGGTTTTATTTGACTACTACCTCATCTTCATATACTCTTGGCTATTGAACTCGATAACAATAAGGTGAGGAGTATGTGTACCATTATTCTGGTCCTTTTTTGTTACACGAATCAAATTCATCAAATTGTTGTGTTATGTGTATAAATTTTAAAAGGTCCTATCTTATACTTGAGAGTTCTATTTCTTCTACAACTATGTTTCTGACTTTTATCACATAACTAGGTGACGTGCGGGTTTTGTTTTTTTTCGAATGTTTGAACAACTATAAGAAAGCTAATGATATTTTTTTTTTTTGC